GTAGTAAGTAACTAAGTAATATCTTTGACCCATAGTAGGGAATACAAAATGAAAATTAACTTTCAAAGTGTGCATATGTAAGCTAAAGTGTAAAACTTCTATATATTTATTCAGTGATACAGGGAGGGCATGTTAAGGTCTAATAAGCATATATAAATTAATTCAAGCAAATTATTACTGAGCAAAGTAAGTAATGTCAAGAGCAAAACAGTACAAGTTTTGAGCATGTGATTGCTCATCCTGGTGATGGAGTATTGAGCACGGTGGTGAATTCTTGCTACTTTCTAGGTAGGGCAAATGTAAATATGCTGAGCCACATTAAATCTATGAATAATTTTAGTCATAAATGATTTTGCCTCAGGTGTATAGACATATCCATTGTCTAAATAAATTCATTCACTTCTGTCACCCTGAAACAAAAGTCCATTTATAAAATGCCATTGTTCTTAAAGTACAAAGCCAAAAGAAACTCATTTTAATTTTAATTCTTATGGATATTACTTAAATAGAAAACTTTCATATCACAAATTTAAAATTCTAGAATAAACCTCACACAAATCTCTGGTCACATGTAATTTGAAGTCTTGTAGTCTTGTCAGTATAGCTACCAATTTAGATGAAGCACCCTGGAGTCAGTGTCTCTTTGTAGTGTTATTTGTCAAATGACTCAGGCACCACTTTAAAGTGTATGTGAGGTTACTAATCAATCTCTATGCCCTTAAATTGCATGCTATGTCATGTGCAATTTTCTTCTCTCTGCAGGTGAAATCATGAATTGTATTTGCCTTTGATACTTCAGTTTTCTTTATTTTAGAAGTATCACAGGAAAAAATAAAGCCACTATATAGTTAATATGTGGTATTCTGATAAAAGATAAGGATGTAGCAGGAATTTGAACACGTGTGTGTATGTTTGTACCTGTGTGCGTATTTGTGGGAACATGGGCTCTTCTGTGAGAAATAGAAATGTAACTGGATATTGGGGGACTTCTAATCCAACTAAATTACTCTCTAATTTAACATTTGTTTATTAACAATGTGGAGCTCTTGTATAATCAGGTTAAAAATCAGAGCTTTTTGTACAGCACTTTTGTATTTTTTTTGATGTTTCTTTTATACTGTGTATTACACTTCAATCTCTTACAGAAAACATTTATTTGGATTCTGAAATTACAACCCTCTAATTATTTTGTCTTATTATATAGGATCTTCTGAAAGCATCTGGTACAGACTTCTATTGTAAGACTGATTAATTAAAGGTGAAGAGTAAACATAAAGCTATGTGCATTATGTTTGAGACAGAGAAAGAAATGGAAAAAGAGAGCTGTAGTGAGACATACCTTTTAACCCATCTGTACATGTGTACATGCATACATCACACACACACACACACACACACACACACACACACACACACACACATGCGCAGCAGAGGAGGGGAGAGGAGGGGAGAGAGAGTTTGCATAGATCACTGCCCTAAGGCAAAACACCTTAGATTTTTCTGGAAGCACTTTCTCTGCCTACTTAGTCCAATTAACAGTCCAAGTACGGCAGCCAAGCTACTGAGAAAAAGAAAAAGATAAAGGTAATTACCTCAAAGAAAAATTAAAAAATCCAATTAATGGGTCTAATTTTGTGAAGACAGCACTTCATAGGCACAATTACGAGACAATTCAAGGTAATATAAAGGCCAAAGTAAATTAAAATTTTATGAAATCATAAAAGCTGCCAAGAGCTCTAGAACCTCCATCTGCTTACAAATGCAAGTACCCAATAGGAATATCTGAAAATGGATGAAAGAATTTTTGGATAGATGTGTAGTATCCTAAAATCTATCTCAGGATTATGCTGGTCTCAAGACTGTTTAATGAGGGCTGGCCAGTTAGCTCTCTTGGGAAAGCATGGTGTTAATAACACCAAGGTCAACCACACCTGCCCAATCTCCCTGAGGGTGTGTCTACCCCGGGGGTCTCTATTTGCACACCAACCAACAACTCAAATGTCTGTTCACAGAACCCTAAAGCCAATGTCCTTTCTGATTTGTCTGTGTGTTATGCCAACCTAAACCCCCATGCTTTTTATTTGTTCCCTTCCCAGCTAACTCAGGACACAAGGAGGTCAATTTGTTCTTCCACTTCACCTCTCCTTTCCCGCCCCATCCAGAGAGTCCTAAGGAAAAAAGGGCGATCATGAAGGTGGGTGGTCATGAGGACCATCTTAAACACCCACCCAAGGGTGCAAGCTCCAGGGTCCTTCAGTAGGACACTCTCACAAGAGAATGGAGGTCATGGGGACAGTGGGGGAGGAAAGGAGAGGTTGGACTCACTCCATGGGATGACCCATGAGGATCCCCATTCAACAATTCTTGCTGAATTTCACCACCATTTAATAATACATCTTTCTTGAAATCAGCACAGGCCCTCATGTCTGGACATTAACAATATTAATATTATTTTTATTAATAAAAATAAAGAGCTAACACTTAACCACATCTTCATTATGAGCGAGAACATTCTAAGCAGACATATGCACACACAGGCACACATACAGGTGTGTAATTTGAACACCAAGGTTATCATTGTCATTTTAATCATTCAGATGAAGTAAAATCAGAGGAATAAAGACATTTTTAAAAAAAATATTGAGTGGTAGAGGCAGGATTCAACCAAAACAGCATGAGACCTGAGCCTGTCTTCTGAAACTGCCATCCTAACTGCTCTCACGAGGCCCACTGGACACAATTTGACCTAAATAAACATGACAGATATCCCAAAAGCTATTCCCAAATTCAAGTTTGGAAAACACTAAACCGAACACATTTTGTTTCTTTTCTTTTCTTTTTTTTTTTCTAATGTACTTTAGAAAGGATTTAAAGTACTTTGGGTACTTTAAATTAAAAATATTTCATCAAAATAATAGGTGGCATGGTTGCAAATTAAGAAGAGGTTGTGCTTAAAACTGTCTTCATCCAATCCTTACCTACTCCCGGTCCCATATCTAACTCTCTATTTTGGGTTTTTTTTAAAAATAAATATTCGGCTGCTCGTTGACTTTAATGACCCTAATGTTAAAATAATAAGTTTAAAGACTCCTCAATGATATGTGTATAGCACTATTTCTCAATGTACATACTTTTTTTTTTTTTTTTTTTTTTTTTTTCCGGGTCCGGCAAAGGATCCCAACCCCCGGGGTTGCCCCCC